ATGAGCATAAACGACGACATATGAAAATCAGCTGGAAAGTAAGGCAGCATAATAAAGCCACCTTAAACCAAAGCCCCCTAAACTCTAAAAATGAAATATATTCAAGTTAAAATTTCGTATCGTAAAAACTTGAAGACATAATTAACAACCGAGATTCCCGCTGAACTCAAGTAAACTGGCAACTTTTACTGTCACTTCTTGCTTCACAACTTGCTGTCGCACACTGCATTGACGGTGCCAAGTTCAGGTTTCTACCGTTAGATGCGTTCAAGTTTGCGCTATTATTAAGCTAGTAAGTGAGATGACGGGCGCGCATGATTTCTTTATTAAGTTTTCTTCCCAAACAGTTTAAGTATTTACTTTTGTGCTTCCATGAAATACAGACAAGTTGCCAGAAAATGTTTGTGACACACTCACTTGGTTAGTTGAAGATAGGATGAAAGCATACACGTGGCTTTAAGTGGTTTAAATGTTCTTTAGATTCCAGGCAAGGCATGCTACATATTTATGTCAGTATATATAAATATAAAGAGAATAGTAAGGAAGGCTAAGTTCGATGTAACCGAACATTTTATACTCTCGCAAAGTCAAATGGTATACTCGTTTAAGCTTTCTTTGTGAATCTTGCCGCTGTTCTATTGTGGACCGATATTTTCGGTAAAAAGTCAACTATAGGCACTGGGTCCACATATTCAGTACCTAAGGGCTTGAACAGTTTTGGTCAATTTAGACATATTTTGGTCACAAGTGGCATACTTTAAACGTATTTATTCACGCAAAGTTTTACGCCGATTAAATCATTTAAAATGATGTATATGGGAAATAGGCGTGGTTGTAATCCGATTTCGCCAATTTTCGTACTATGACATAGAAACATGAGAAGAACGTTATGCACCGAATTTTTGTGAAATCGTTAAGCAGATCCCAAGATATGTGTTTACCTAAAATGGGCGTGCCACGCTCCACTGACATTTGAACGCGGTTCCTATAAATATCATCTTATACCATCCCAGAGTAAAATTTAATGTTCTCTGGCGTGTTTAGTGCTTGACTTATCCGCTTTAGCAGTTTTTAACATACCGTTATATGGGAGCGCGGGTTGTCACCCGATTTCGCCATTTTCACTACGTCGATAGGGTGCTACAACATTGTTCCCAGTGAATTTGTTATTTAAGCTTCAGTGGTATAGGAGATATGCACATACAACTTATTAGGGGCGGGACCACGCCCATTTAAAAAAAATTAAACTGCAGATGCTCTCCTAATGTGATCCTGTAACCAATAAGAGTCTTGTATCTTATTGCGGAGCTTATTTGTGTTGGGCGTAGCAGTGGTCCAATTACGCCATCTGCAACAACCGTCTTACGGTACCAAGAAACAGTGGTTGTACCAAGTTTCATAAAGTAATCTCAATTTTACTGGAGTTACAGCTTGCAAATACGGATAGACGGACGGACAGACATTCACCCGGATTTCAACTCGTCTCTTCATCCTGATCATTATATATACTCATATAACCCTATATCTAACTCGATGTAGATAGGTGGATATCATAACACTCTTTAGTGAAAAACATTATACTCTGTAGCAACAAGTTGCGAGAGTATAAAAACGGTTGAAAAATTACCTTCGAGGAACATTTCGTCTACGAAAATGCAATGGTCTCAGTGGAACATTTAAACTATTTTAAAAATGAAAATATGCGTTCATCAAAATTCTTTAGTTAGGAACAGTTTCAAAATACAACATTTTTTTTATTATTTTCATTTATTATTTAGTGTATCATTTTTAATTATTTCCTGTTTCAGTTCTTAAAATTTTCCGTATATTCTGCTTTATAAAAAAGCTATTCTTACTAACTGGAAACAGTTTCTGACAACGTCGTATTTGATATATTGGTACGATAATTTTGATATGGGGATATAGTTTAAAGTTGTTGTAAGCTCAAGTCAAAGCGTTGCCATAAAAACAGTTTTTAAGGGAACAATTTTATTTTGGTAAAATCCAATTGTTCTTTGTAATTAATATTTGTATATAAATAGGAACAATTTTTAATAGTTTTTCTTCTTCACAAAATTTGTTTACGTTAGTTTAATTTTACATTATTCTTACCAAAATCTATGAAATGTGATTATTTGAGAGGCTATCAAGCAAATATATTAATACATGTATGATAAGGTAAACATTTTTTAAGGAAGAAAAGTATAATTTGTTACAAATTTTATTATGAATTGCATAACAAGAATACAAATACACACAAATAAAAGCATAAAAAACGTACCTGAAAGTATAAAAGTTCATAAATGGATAAACAATACATATACAAAAGTATAGACATTTGCCTTCTGACGGAATAATGATGCCTGAAGGTTTATTAAAAAAATATTTACATTATCTACTGCGCACAACTAAATTACTTTTGCTGCAAAACAAGCATAGAAAAACACTTTAGCTGAGCTTCATCGCAAAGTATACAAATACAAATGCAAAAAATATGCACAACAGGCAACAGCCATTACATCAGCAGCGCCACATGTGACGAAATTATGAATTAATTCTGCTAATACCCCACAAAGACAAAATTATACACACAAGAGTGAAAGCACATGCTCATACGTAAGTACTTTCGCTAAGTAAACACAAAAAGACCCAATACTTCCACATAAAATTTTGTATGTTCAGAAAGTCTACGTGTATAGGAAATCAAAAATATGCTGGCGCACACTTACAAACATACGCACGCACATTAGCAACCGCGCTGTTTGTCTCAATTTATGTTGAGGTTAATGTGGTGCCAACATTTAATTAAACTCGCAGCTAATTACAATCGTTTCATTGCTTCATACACATGCATAAGTACACTTATACTTATGCATATATGTTAGTGTGTGTGTCAACATGCCGTTATTTGACACTGTATGGCGTGTTGATTGCAGCATTAACATTTGCCTCGGCAGCGTACGTTTTATGACAGACAAAGCGTTGTTAGCGCAAAAGTTGATTAAAAGCCAAATAATTGTATGGTACGTGGCGTATGAGTAATGTCCGCATAGTGGCATGTAATCACGAAAATCGATGCGAAATTGTTATGTTCATGCAAATGGTTTGCCTTTTTTTTCATTTAGCACTGAATTTACTAGCAATTTGTGTAATTTTTATAGTTTCATGATCAACAGCTTACTTTAATGATTATTGCAAATGGATGACACGGGGCGTATACGTAACATTAATGACGGTAATTTGAGTTGCAAAATTTATTTGCATTAATTTTTCATTTAAAGCTAAACAAAAATATAAATAAAAAGTGGCATTGATTTTTCATAGAATTATTGTTATGCATGTTTATAGGTGCTGGAAAAATATTGAATGAAGGTTGTGGTTATCATTAATCTGCATACGTCCAATATTTGAGTGTTTTTTTATTAAAAAAAAAAATGTATTCTGTCCCCTCTGCAACGCTTGGGAATAGAAAATTACATATTATTGATTTTTTTCTTACCAACATTAGTGTGCATTTCATCATACTTTACATACTTTAAAAAAGGAATTATATGCAGAGTTGCCAAATTTTTTTCATTACCAAATTATGTATATTTACATACTTGTACAAGCATAAATATACAGTTGACCTAATTACCATAAAAGCAAAAATTATTATTCTTCACATATTTCGCAAGAATTATTTAAGAGTATTGCCATCTTTTGAAAATAATTCATCAAGAAACACATAACTAATTAAAGTTACTAAAAAGCAGCACTTTTGGTATTTATATAATAATATTGTATATTAAATAATTGAGCCAGGGTTGCCAACCATACTTATGTTTAAATTTTTATTCAATCAAGTTTAGCTTATCTTCAAAAATTGAACTTCAAACGATAACTCTTGAGACCTATAGCGAATTGTCATAAAAAACTACAAAAAAAATTATCGTTGCCACCTATCAAACTTTAAACGCGAATAAGCAACTATAATTTATAGAATTTCACCTAATATTATAACTAAATCGAAATATTTTTGAAAAACTTACTGTTTATTACATATGCATACATATGCATTTTGTCAGAGTTGCCAAGTACTTATATTCATAAAGAATATTTCAATTAGTTTATTAAATAAATTACTTATGAAAATATTATTATTTTGCTTGCATGTGTAAAAACAAATAAATTTCTGCTAAGATTGCCAACTTGTTAAATTATTTAAATATAATTTTATAGCATTAAGATAAATATTTTTTTGGTTAGGGTTGCCAACTATTATGTATTGGTATAATTGAATTAATAAAGTACCCATCACCACAGTAAATGTAAGCCATAGCTCGGAAACTTTTATGGACGTAAAATTTATCCATGAGTGTAAGTCAGACATATACGACGGATATATTCTCAAATAATTTAGTAGTTGATTTTACAAAACTCAAAAAAAGGCTATGAAAATATTAATAAATTTATAAGCTAGCCAAATAGCATATGTAGGTGTATTAGTATGGATTTTTAAAAATTGAATATTCTCAGTTACTCAGAAAAAAAATATCAAAAAAATTGAACATTTTCAGGTACTCAGAAAAAAATATTTTTTTTTCTACCCACCCTAATGTACATTTTATATAACAGCGAAAAAATTAGCTGTCGAAAAACATTAACGGAATATTAGTTTTTCAAAAATAATGCACTTTTAAGCAAAATAATTTATTCATCTAAGAAATTATTCTGTTTGTATTTTGCTAAATATTCATAACACATACTTAATGAATTGAGCCAAAATATATGCACCCCATCAAACTACGTAAATTTTACTGCAAAACACAATTCATCAACTCTTGGTTGTCATGGCGTATGAGCAACCCAACTTTGTATGCATAACTCTTAAATAAACATAAAATATTAATAACATATTTTGCTGTAGCAAGTAATCAATCATACATATAAATGTAAATACTGCGCACAGCTTCTTTTCACATGCACTAACAGTATTTTCTTTTTTGTTACACTTTCAGCACAGCGAAAATCAAATGCGTTCCTCGATGTGCCCGCAATGCATCATTTGCGTGTCAGTGACGATGATGAAGATCTGGATCGTTTGCGCACATTCAGCGCTTCCAAGGGCGGTGAGTAAAATAAAACAAAAACAAAAATACTACAAATAAATGTGACTTATCTTACACATTCATATACATATAAATAAGTGGCCGCAAGTTTGTGCTGATATAAAAATGGCACTAATGATGTCGCCATGTTTGACACGGCTCATGGCTGGCTGCAACTATTTCTCACACAAACAAAAAACTATTTGTGCAAATTGATTTACGACAGTTAGAAACTGCCACGCAGCCACCACCACACGCCAGCCGTCAAGCAAGTAACTAAAATGCAAATTGCTAGCAAATATTAAGTAAATAAAGGTTGCTCGACAAGCTTGTGGCCTAACTTGTAAAATACAACAAGAAGAAAAGCAACAAAAACAACAAAAATAAGAATAAATACTGAAAATACTTTAACGTAAGTATAAAATATCGCATTGAAGCTTTGTAGTGCCATTTACGTAATCTAATTGTGGACCCTTGGTCATTTATAAATTTGCACTCACTACTAAAGAAAGCTTACCTAACGGTGAACGCGACTCTAAATTGCTTGCTAAGTACGCATATAAAATTTCACTTAAACATTGAATAAGTGTTTGATTGATGATAGCGCACGCCGAAGGGAAGCGCCACAAGTGCTGCACAAAGTTTGCACAAAAGATTTGACGTCAAGCCATTTGATAGCGCCGTGAGAACATTACGTTTTTATAGTGATTGATAAGAATTCGAAATCAGCAAATATGATAAAGCAATGATACACCTTTACTGCTTTGCTCTTTGACATGCTACACATTGAAGTATGAATGGCATAAAGAATAAATAATGCAGGTAAGAAAGATACTCTATGAATGGAAGCATAGTTCGTTTGTGTCGTGGGAAGTAGAGCTGCGGAAAGGTTGTGGTAGATTTTATATACACAATTTTTTAATGTGAAAATCATAAACGTCAATGAAAAGACAGAGTTTAGAATGAAAATAAATAAAATTGAGACATGTTATGATGAGGTTTCAATAAAACTATTATATAAAAGTATACACATATGTATATATGGTTCAAGTCTCAGTAGCAGCGGTACTTTCAAGAACAAGACATTCGAAGATTATAATGCTACCTTGGACAATAATCTTTGCCGATCATGAAGATATCTTTCCAAATAAAAAAGTTTTTATGGCAGCTATATGCTATAGTAGGCCGATATCGGCGGTTCCGACAAATGTGCAGCTTCTTGAAGAGAAAGATCATGAATTCTCCTTTAGACTTTTCTACTGTTTCATACCTTATATTTAATATCTGAATCAGACTGCTGGATTTTGAACCAACCCGCTGGTTTTTCGAGCGTCTGGATCATAAGTAATAAAGAAATTTTTTCTGTTTTTCGAAGTTAGCCTCTATAATCGAAATATTTGCCTTCCAAGTTCAAGAGTGTATAAGCCTAACTGAAAAAATTAGAAAACAAAAGCGACTAGTTGAAATCGTTACAGAATTTTTGACTGATTTTTTCATATAAGTTTAACCGAAAAATAGTATGACGGATATTTAATTGTTGTTTTTTGTATATAAGTACTAAAATACATAATAATATTTTTAATAAGCCAAATTTCGAACTTTGAAGGCAAATATTACAACTTTGCAAGCTAGCTTCGACAAATGGAGACACTCCTTTTTTGGTGATGACTATTAAAAATATTGGTTTGATGGCATACCTAAAGGAAAGTCGCTTTTACCATATATTGATTACTGATTATTGGCTTTGTCAGGATAAGTCTGTGTTCTTTTCTATTTTTACACCACAATTCATTCATTATATAACTTTTAAGACCAACAGACAGACACTTAAACGTAACGTACCTAAAAAGGAAAACCCACAATACCATGTGAACTTTCACATCACACGCATACCATGTAGTTTTCTATATGACAAGATTCAAGCAAACCCAAGATCGCTTTGAAAAGCCTTCGAAAAAAAAACATTCTGCTGGATTACAAAAATTCAAACGTGCCTTCAGTGACTGCTATTCAATCTTCCAACGCCAACATATTCACTACGAAGGTACCCTTATGTTTAGTGATAAATCACATGTGTATATGAAAATAAAAACAAGAAACAAAAAAAAACAACATAAATAACACTAATAAAAATAAAATCAAAAATCAATAGAGTAATGATAATAAGCAACAACAACACACTATTGTGCTACCGCTACTACTGATACAACAACACCAACGAACAATCACAAACATATTGTATAAATATCGAGCACCCGCAAAAGTTGGCTTAAACTGTGCCAAGTGCGCCTCAGAAGGATATTCACGTATACGCAACCAATCCGATACCCTGCATCCTTTGACCGCGCCCATCTATTCAATACAGCTGACAGACAGACATAGTACAACACAAACGAGTCACAAAATGAGCACAATAAGTCTATAAACCGATATGGTATATATGTAAATGTAAACCCACCGCCGCTAACTTAGCCGTAATGACAGCCCCATACACAACACACTGCGTGGCAGTGACAGTGGCGTTGGCAGTCAGACAACCGGAACATCTTAACCTTCTTCAGCCTACTAGATAATATATGTGTGTGTGTGTAGTGTGCAAACTTATTCAGGGTCTGCAGTCGCTTCAGCTGAGTTGTCGGCATTTCAATTTGCTCTTTTTTTTCTTCACCACTTTTATCTGTTTTTTTTTTTCGTATTCAACACAAAAGTTCTTCGGCGTATACATGATGTATGCAAGCGCTTTGTTGTTGTTGTTGTGGTATTGTTTGTTGATATTCTTGCTCAGTTGCCTCAAGCTGTGATTGGATTCTTAACCTTACCGGGAGGTTATCAGTTAGGTGGATTTTTCAATGCACAAGTGGCTTTACAAATGTAAGTATATATTGGTTTGTATGTGTGTGTATTGATATTCATGCAGAGGTTCCATTTAAGGCACTATTTGCTTAGTCTGTAGTGTATTGTAATTGCATTTGAGAAAACATATGGTTCAGAGCCATGAAAGCTTAAGCTGTTCTAGAGCAGAATATTGTCTAATATTTCGGTCTGGAGCATATATATACCGTCCAGACTGTTTAATGACAATCTGATATTGATACTCCCACAAAAGAAGTATAATTTATATGTATTCATTAGCAATTTGGATCAATGAAGAACTTGCCTATGCAACAAAAGAATACCTTCAATACTCTAATAAATGGATATACACGTACCTTAAAGGACTCAGAGGCAATGCAAAGCAAATGTAATAAGCCGAGGCGATCTTTGGGACAAACGTTTTTCCTTTACTTATTTATGTTTTTTAGCAGACCAAGTGGAGTAAATACGTGAAAGCAGACAAATGTGCGTAGAATTACAAGAGATATTTAAATAAAGGTAGACAGTTGTTCACGCGTGTCGAAAAGTCTCACAGAAATTGCTATTTTTTTTAAGGTCACTTTTTAACTTTCGATTGTGTGGATTACTGGATTTAAAATTAATAGGATGGACGAGAGGAGAGGCGCGTAAGAATATATAAATATTTTTTTTTTCTGCTCTACTTTTTCTGAATATACAAGACAATTTTATATTAAATTGTGGTGAAAGCTAACAAGCTTGCCTATTATAATTGCTCCCAAATGTATGCTTAGAAATTTTTAAATTTCTAAATAAGGCAAAGTGCACATTTAATAAATTGCGATAAAGGAATTTGTTCATAAAAATTTATATTTTATGCGAAAAAAAAAATGTGTGCCTGTTTATTTTCACTAAATTTGCCATAAAAAGCGCTTTTCTAGCCTCTCGTACATCACAAAACGATTACTTGAAGTGATTTATACATTCAAAGCCAAATAATGGTCGTAAAATTCCACGAAACGCAAGCACGATAACTTTTTCAAGTCATATCTTTCTAGCAAGCAAGCAAACTTTTATGTCAATTCTTAAAAAAGAAATACAAGTAACACAAAATAGTTTAAGCAAAAATGTGAAAACTTCCACGTGCGAAAAATTTCACAAAACTTAGATATGCGCATACTGAGTGAGTATATGAAAAAGAATCAGAGAAGCGTGTAGTTGCCGCTTCAATTAATTTGGGATATCGGAAAGGAATGGAAAACACATATACATAAATTACCAAAAAGAATGCCATTGGACATAGATTTTGATTGTTAGTAATATTTAGGGGATAGAAAAAACAGCTAAAGGAGGTTTTTGGTGCAGAAATTTTATGGAGTGTGACATCAATGTATTCTCTGATTTTCTCTTAAATTTAAGTTTGCCAAAGTATAAATCAGTCATAGCCTCAAACAACTGAGCATGTTCTGAACTTAATCTGACTGATATTTCTTGCCTTTTTAATTATTTAAGATTTGGCCACACCTAAACTTTTATTCAAAAATCCAACAGTTAGTAGTAGCACACTCAACTGCAGGTCATTAAATATAATATTATCGCGAAAATTAAAGAGTGCGGCTTTGTATAGTTTTGCCTGTAGGTCGGAGAACTCAAATATCATTTATTCCTCAGAAACTTGTTTAAAAAGTGACTCGAATTTTCTTATGCATCATGAAAATACTGCTAGTGTTGAGAGGAATCTACTTTATTGCGAACACAAGTATTTGAGTGGCACAAAATATTTAGAAAAGGTCTTGAAGTCATCGAAAACTTACCACATACGAGATAGTATGGAATCTCAACATTGCTTATAGATCGACTCAACAATTTTGGTTATTGTTTTGGGTATGAAGCGTGTCAATGCTAGACTTGTACCAAAGATCTTGCATGATTGTGACTGGCTTTTTGAGCAAATACTCTGTGATTTTTTCTGTCTTTCGAAGTTGAAAAAACTGCTTTGGGAAACACACCTTAATTCCATTGATCCAGTATATAAAAATCGTCAGACAAACTTTTCGCATCATAAACAAACAGCGACAAAACACACACTAATTAATGTATGAAGATCGAACTTCGCATGAACATTAAAAAAATTGTACCAATCTATGGAAAAAAATTGATCGACCCGGTTTCTACGCTTTCCGAGTTTA